AAAAAACATAACAAGTCATTAGATCTTTCCATTGCAGAAATTTGTCTTGCATGTAACTCCACACAGATATGCAGAGGCACAAGTGCTGCTGTGCTGCCAGGAGGAGAGCTCTGTGCATGCACAATAGGAGGCTGAGTGTGATCTGCTGGCCCTGATCAGCAAGGGGGCTGCATTTCCTAAATACAATATTATCTCATACTCACATTGTGATTTTTTGGTGCAAATAGTGTCCTGCAGTGTGCTGGATAAGGGAAGAACATAGGCAATGCCATGTACTTGCAGGTGGTTTTTGCATGTGAGTGCCAAAGAGGTTAAAAAACAATGGGCAGGGACTGTGCACAGATACCACCAATAGCAGCAAGCACTGTAGTTTAGAAATGTGCTGAAGAAATAAAAAATAGGAACAACTTTAGTTTTTATTGCAGATACTTCCACTAAACCAAACCTTACTGCACTCACAATGCTCTGTAAAATCAAAACTGTGTTTCAAAAAAGAACTAGGAAGAATAGCCAGAAATATGTAAGCATCCACCTCAAGGTTTTTTGGGATGAGAAAGTTTGACTTTTCACATCAAAATATCTTCAGTTTTGTTGTTGTTGTTTTTAGTATTATCACAGTACAACTCCATAGAGAAGCACAATGCTGGCTGACCCAAAATGGGATTTCTCTCATACATTTTCTTTCAGAAATTTCAAAGCATTTAATTTCTATTTCTATCCAATATGAAGCCTAACCCCTCAATCCTGATGAAGCAGATAATTTGTCCTTAGCCCAGCTCAAGCAGCAGAAGCAAAAAAGTGAAGGTGGAAGCCGGAATGGACTCAACTAACCTCCAAAAGCAAAGAGATGACAGCAAATATGTGGAAAAATAGATTGCTGTACATAATTAATAGAAGCGTTTTCTCCCTCTGATACTTAAGATGTGAAACATTTGTGAGAGAAAAGTGGGGTGGTATGTGATCAGCAGCCCGGTAACTGTGACTCTTCTAAAGGAGAGCAGGGCAGATGTCCTACATGACAGCAAGCAAACAACTTCCATCTCTGCACATTTCAGCCTTTCCAAGCCATAAATCAAACCGACTGCACTAACAAAATATGTTCAGAGTCTCTCAATTAGTTGATGCTTATAAATGACTGTGCAAACACAAGGTAGTATTAACAAGGGAACAGTCTTTGTTACACTACTGTCTGTTAAACAACCAGGAGCTGAATTTCTCTCTGAACATTCACAAAGGGAAAGCAGCATTAATGCTCGACAAGGAGAAAACTACAAAGAACAGATTTTCAGAGCATGCACTTCCCCTTGAAATAAACTGTGTTAAAAGCACTTTACTTAAAAAGCACAATGATAGTAGCATCCTGCTAAATGTAGGTGACTCACCACAGTGTAGTAGTGAGCATCCCCGAAGAGTGCCATTACAGTATGGCTTATCCTGCTGCATGAATATAAGCATTCTCCTGTGGTTACTGTTTGGATCAAGGCACTAAGGACTACCAGCATCCCTTTAACCTTCAGTGGGTCATGAAGCCTCTCTGAGCCTTGCTTTGTCCTTCTCCACTGCTGGTAGCGTAACACAAATTCATCTGCCCCACAGAGGCAGGAAAGAAGATTTCTAAGTTTCTTAATGAGTTGTTTATACCATACTTTCCATCCCATATTACCAGTGAGCAGCTAAATATAGTTATTCTTGAGACACTTCAAGATCCCTCAGAGATTAAATCTTACAGAAGAAAATTGGACTTCAGGCAATACTGAAGAAAGAGAGGTTGAAAAAAAACAACATTACAAGCAACAAAAAATACCACCTAATAGTTTCCAAAATAAGGGTAGGATGCCTGCATTAGAGATGCAAGAGGTAGTTAATGCATCTGTGCCTGCCGCTGGGGACCAAGGTCAGGTCGTGAGCAAAATGATTTATCTACATGTCACAAAACCACACAGCTTGACACCAATGGCAATCTGTTCCAAAAATGCATCAGCATGAAAAAGAAAGGCACAGCCACAGTCCTCTCTTGCTGGGGCTGAGGACCTGGTTTAGGGCTGGGAAGAATATATGGGCTAACAAAATGGTGCTGCAAAGCCAGAACTTCAATGCACGGCTTCAGCTGGGAGAAGCCGGGATAAACCCAGTGTGCAGGAAGGGGACTTTACATAGGGACCAGAAAGACCTGCCTGTGTGAGAAGTTGCAGAGCAGCTGTTGCACTGCTGCGTTGTTACCAAGCTCACACACTCACTCCCCATACTTGCCAGATCCAGCTGCAACAGGCCGTAGCATGCTGACATCTCGTCTGCTGCAATACTGTGTCACACGACCCAAACACCATGCACAACATAAATAAAAAGTTGTTTCTGCATCTTAGCTGTACCCGACGTGTGACTTCTAACACATCAGAAAACGTGCAGTAGGCTATTTCTGGTGATGAAGCAGGATTGACGTGCAGTAGCAGGGTTGGTTTTAAAGCCCCAGAGTTCCTTCCTATCTTTCCATAAACTTCCCTGAGGAGCCTGAAAAGTATTATTTTCACAAAAGTTACTATGTTTGTAATGCTTTAGAGTGAAAACAAATACACTGCCCCCTCCCCAGGAGCCTTAAAATGCATATAATAAGCCAAATGAAAGCAGTCATCTGCTCCAGTTAAAAAGAATCATTGCTGTTTTACAAATCACAAAACAACGTAAGCACATGGGGCTATAACATTTGATTGACATCTCACTGCAAAGTCTGACTGTGTGAGAATGACAAAAGCAACTCTGAGGACCTTCTCTCACAGCCACTCTCCACTTGTTGGCGTGAAGTATTTCTTGTGATGATACACTCTTACAGTTCCTGATACTTTAACTTCTAAGCTTTATCCCTGTAATTTGGGTAGCCCTTTGCACATGGATCCTATGGTATTCTTCTTCCTCCATCCTCGAAACCAACACAGAGCCTCAAAAAAGGAAAATCGATCTTCCTAACCAGTCTGCAGCTCAGAGCAAAAATACACACACTCATCTCCTACAAATGTTATTCAGAAGAATCTCTGCCAATTTTATTTGAGCCCGCACAGTCTATGTCTGTTGCTTATGCCTATCAGGATTTTATTTTCAAATCCAAGACCAAAAATACGACCATACTTCTGTTGTGTAACACAGAAGTGACGGCGTATCACAGTTATTTTCATCTACCACCATCTTCTGCAGACTTTTCCTTAGAGAGAAATTAAAAACAATCTTGAGACACAGGTGGTTCACTCAAGTCATTTTCAAGTCTTAAAAGTTAGTGCAAGAAAAAGCATTACGTTGGCATAAATAACTATTTTATGAAAGGTATGTTTCTGTTCTTAGTTGTTTCTACTGTCATTGTCCTCACATGCCCCCTGCCAAAAAGAGAAAATTAAATATTTAGTCAATCTCTTTTTTTCTTTTTTCTTTTTTCTTTTTTCTTTTTTTTCTGAAGAGATAATCAAACGCCCCTGCAGTTTCAACCTTGGGTCTGGTTACTGCTGGATGCTCCTGCAGAGGTAGAACATCAACAGCAACACTTTATCACTTATATGCTTGTCATTGCAGAGGCATGGTAACTTTTTAGTTCAATCTTTGCCACATCTGCAGATGGAAAAAAAATTAAAACGTAGTATTGAGGATCTGCAAGTGAACATGTGCTTTCCAACCCAGAAAAGTACCAAACAGGAAAGAAAGCAGATGAAGTTTGAAAGAAACGTGATTGTTTGGTTTAATTAAAGGCTAATAAACTCTTTTTTTCTTCATAATTCATCCCTTTGAAGTCAGCAGGTAAAGTTTCCAGTTAACACATGCAACTTCTAACTGGCTTCGGAGAGTGGGACTCGGCGTGCTTTCAGGGCTGAGGCACTTGTGAGAAGCCCACCTTGCTGACCACCAGGCTGGCTTCTCGCTGTGCCTGGCCAGAGGGGCACAGCCTGATCGATGCTCCCTGCAGGGCTGTCAGGGCCAGACACAGCAGCCCTAGCAGGCAGCTCCATCTCAGTGCAGGCTGCCAGAAGTTTTGCCCAGCCTTTGCTGAGATGCCCCCAGTGCTCTCGCAAGAGAGCCCATCGTTCCTGCCTGTCCTCTCGCTCTCTTGGGGCCCCCTGCATCAGGTTGTCTGCTGTTCCACCTGCAGAGGCACCCAGCCAGCCTGGCCAAGCTGTGCTCTGCTCACTGCCAAGCTGACTTCCACAAAGTGACTGATTGGATCTGAGTAGACCCAAGAAAATGAGACCTACTTGTAGATCTCCAGAAGACATAGCTGTGTAGGCCTGCTCTGAAGTTTGGCACTACTTGAAAGAAGGCATCAACAGATGAGCCTGAAGGCTTCACACTTCGCAGGTTCTCCTGTTGCCCTTACCGCAGTGCCTCTGGGTGCTCTCAGCAATGTACCAAGCTATGTGACGGACATCACTCACACGCCATTTGTCCCCTCTCCTCACTCAGGACCCGAACACATCTCACTGTGCAAGGTCTGAGTTAGATGGGCATCCCTACGGCTGGGCACTCGAAGCTGAGGAAGCAGATGCCGGTTAAGCACCAAGCCCTGGGCACTCAGTTAGCCAGGCAGCTCGGTGGTATCTCCACGCAAAGTTCCCTGCTGTCTTGGGGCCTGAGGGATGGATCAGAGTTTGGCACCCAGGTGAGCTTGCCACCGGGTTAGGCCCTGCCAGCCGAGAGCTTGTGAAGCCCAGACAGTTTACAGCAAGTTTCACAGCACCGTAAAAAAAAAAATAATAAAATAAAAAAAAATCCACTAGTACTAAATGACGGTAGTAAAAGCGATGGTGCAGGAGAGGCAGCGCGAGGTGCGGAGCAGCCAGCCCGCAGAGCGCTCTCCGCCGCCGCATTCCCGAGCATCACCGGCGGGACCGCCACCAAAACTTCCCCACCGGCCCCCGAGACCCCGCGTCCCCGGGTGGGGGCGGCGACGCTCCCTTCCCCGTTCCCCGCGCTCCCCGCGAGTTGCCGCCGCTCCCCGCCGGGCTCCCCGCCGCTCCCGCACTCACCTCGCAGGGCCAGGAGCGCGGCCAGGGCGGCCGGCACCCAGCGCCCGCCGCCGCCTCCGGGGCGCCGCCGCAGCGTCATGCCGGGCCGGCCGAGGGGAGCAGCGGGCCGCGGGCTCCCGCCT